TCAAAGGGGCTTGAACACTCAAAGATCATTCAATATTCACTTTTGAAATCATACTATGTTGACTTTTCACGTCCCCCCGGGCCCATATTACTGATGGTAAATAAACCTTCTCCTGCTTAAGACATCCAGTTTGTCTCCAGCCTTTTACTTCCACCCTTTCTTGGACAAGCTGAAAACTTCTACAACAATTATAACATAGATCATTGCTTCATAATTATTTTATAGACTATTTTGTTCCATTATTGCTGGTTCAATTGAATGTTGAAAAGAAAAAGAAATAGGCTACATTTAATGTCCAAATAGGCGACTAATGGATCCTTTTATTGCTGGTTCAATTATTGTTTTTCATTGTTTAAAACTTGAGTAATACTAAAGAGACACGATCACTCAGTCAACAATAAAATATCCTCATTAATGTTCAATAATGGTCAAATCTACTTTTATTTTGTGATTTACGAATAATGTCTATAGACTTGGGTCACTTAGGTTTGTGACTTTTAAAATATGGGCCCTCAGAAAAAAAAGTTTAGGAAACACTGACATAGATCATAAATTGGTATAATATGGGCCCTTTAAATTCCATAAACATGACCTAACTCTGTCCCAGATACAAGCATGAACATGTTGAAAATGTAGCTTTTGCTGGTAACAACTGTAATGTAAAGTACGTGTCCTCTATACATAGGTTTAGGAGCGGGCAACCCAGGTTTGATTACCTTTTTGAAAACTGTACAGACTACATGCAGTTCTTTAAGCAACTGCTCTGAACTTGTTTAAGTCATATGTGGAACTGGCCTGCCCAAAGAATAGGGCTTTGTTGCATGGAGAGCTGGGGTATGAGAAATAGCGTAGAAAAACACCATAGCTGCAGTCAATTGGAGTGAGGTGCCTCCAGGGTTTTCTATGTCAAGTGCTCTATATAAAAGTCTATGAGAGAGCTTTCTGTCCTATTGGCTGGTTGCGCCCACTGCTACACATGTGCTCATCAATGGGGGCGATGTAAAGGTACCACGACAAGCTTTGCTACTTAAGGGACCATTGAGGACGGGCTGAAGGAAGCGAGGGGTGGGGGCTCGGAGCACACTGCGAGCATAGGTTAAGTTACGTAATGTGCGAATGCAAAAGACTTGTTCTTATCAAGAGATGAAGCAAATAATCAAGGCTGTGTTATTGTGCCATTAAATACGCTCGATAAAAGCATTTCTTTTAACTTTTAATGCAGGAGGGATAAACAGAAAGTTAACATGGAAATACTTTTATAATAAAACAGTGTGAAGAAAATGTGAAGTGTCATTCCGAGACCAACTAAATATTACAGTCAGGTAGCATTAATCGACCTGCTTCTATATAGTTCTGTCCGGGTTCATTCTGTCAGTGGGTATTGACATTGCCAGTAAAAATCAGATAACCCAATAATTAAGTCTGTTTTTTGATGTTTTTAGTGATCAAAATACCAGGTGACATGTTAAAGCCCCAGTACGTAACATCATAACAAAACAGACTTAAAAAAGGCGTGTTTCTTTTTGTTTTGTTTAGTTGTTTACTTTCATTTTGGTTGTTTTTCTTACACTGAAAAAATCACTTATTAATTGCTGTGAGCTTGAATCTCCACAAACCTGACTCCTATTTGACCTGAAGGAGAGCTTCCTTCTGTTTGGCTATAGTGACATGCCACCACTAGAAATTTACATAATTACATACCTTTTTAGAGTACCGTATTTTTTGGACTATAAGGCGCACCGGATTATAAGGCGCAATATCGATAATGTTGAATTCTCTCGTCTATTTTCATACATAATTAGGTTATAAAGGTGCATTAAGAGAAACAAACGGACGACACTTGAGACTGGTGTTCATGATCCATTGGCAGGTGTGGTGTAATTCACCCAGTGTTGCCTCCCTGTTTTGGTGAATATGTATTATGAATGTGAATGTGAGTGGATAATTTAAGTTTTTAATTTTTTTTCCCTACAAGGAAGACTCACATATACATTGAGGAATAATGTGTTTACTGCAGCTCTGCGCACATTTGTTTATGTTTTACAAAACCAAAACTTAAAACCACATGGCTAATTTGCATAAACTATAAGCGCTGAAAAAAACTGCTCGCTCCTTCTGCACTGATGCGGTCAACTTCTGTCGGACTAAAGGACATGACTCAGTGGAGGTCAGTAAGCACAACCTGAATTAATACGTAAACTGCACCAGATTATAAGGCGCACTGTTGATTTTTGAGAAAATTAAGTGCGCCTCATAGACTAAAATATACTATAAATAAAAACTATAAATATAATACTATAAATAACGTGTTTTTTGTTTTGTTTTTTACTTTCATTTTGGTTGTTTTTATTACACTGAAAAACTCACTTTCTTAATTGACACACCTGACTCCTATTTGACTTGGAGGAAAGCTTCCTTCAGTTTGGCTATAGTGACATGCCACCGCTACAGAAGAAGGTTACATAGTTACATAATTACATACGTTTTTAGAGTAACTTATGCATTTAGAAGAAAAAAAAAGTACAACAATCAGAAAGAAATCAGATTACATGACATCTCAATAATCTGATAATGATGAGATTTTGGTGAGCATGTAAACATAGGCAGTGCGGAGTGGTGCGTGTCAGATGCACTCCCACAGAAGCCCTGGTCATCTCTCTGCCCCACACATGACTGTCCCAGCGTCTGCTCACAGCCACACAGTCTGTGACGGAGGCAGGGACCTGTGAACGCAGTCACATTTGGACACATGCTAGCAGTTTCCATATGAGGCTATTAGCACTGTGTATGTGGTCATTAGGCTCACGCAGACTCCACAGGAATATCAGTTCAATATGTTGTTCAGAGAGGGGCATGGGCAGCACAGTGGCAGCTCCACATGGTTTTAATATTGTTTAAAAAATGCTCAAGCACAGTTTGAATTACTTGGATACATTGTCAAAAACAGTTTTATTTGGTTTAAACAAAAAAAAAAAAAAAAAAAAAAAGTAACCCTGGGATTTTGGATCTAATTTTCTAGTTAGCCAGAGGTGTTGGAGACGTGTGGAGACACTTTTTAAAATATTCCATCCAGTCCTTGTATTTGCAGAGGTCACTGGTGCTAGGCTAGCGCATGTCAATGGCCATAGTTAACCTGCCACTAAAAACAGTCTTACCAACTCCACAAAGCACCTGAAACAAAACTATTATTACACCAGACTGTCGATGTAAATGTCTGTGTCGATAGAATAATGTTTGAAATAAAACTAAACTTGCATCGCATGAATCGTGGCATGTTGAGGGACTATTTTCTCAGTAGCGGCGGAATTTTACTTTGCCGGTAAGATAGGTGCTAGGTGATATCAGTCCTCCGCTGCCAAGCTTTCTGTCAGGAAGTACAACTCACTGCTGCTGCTCAGACATAAATCCTTCAAATGCAAGGTCTAACTAGGAAATGAGGTCCTATGTCCAAAATTTCGGACTGTCCCTGTAAAGGTGCATTGTGTACTGCTTTTCTGGTGGAGATGTTATTGTATTGTCTGGCATGTTTCACAGTATGGTATTTAATCTTTGTATCTTCATGTAGACCAAACCAGACCAAGTTACAGGTCAGATCTGTGGAGAGGCACCACCACTCATAGTCAGAATGTTTTTGTAGGTATTTTTGAGCTACATAACCTCCATTAATTTAGTGAATGTAAAGTAGAACTGTTTAATGTCATACTGAGGAACTGTGGCAGAGCAGTGACATATCCATAGAAACAAGCAGGTGACGGAGCCCCAACCAAAAACTTACATAGTGCACCTTTAAAAATCATACAGGTATAAGTCCTCACGTATGACCTGTACTGGAGGTAACTCAGCTCAGAAAGGTTTGCTGTATTTTTGCATGTGAGGAAATGCTTTCCTTTCAAACTCTTGACATTAAGTGTTAACCCTGCGCAGGTACAGCAGGTACAGCTATTCAGGGACACTTATGATGCTCTGTTTAATGGTTCATCACAGACACGCATTTTACGTCGTAGACTTCAGAACAGTAATTTAAGTTCAGAATCAGCAGGTTTACTTAAGGATGAAAAATGTATAAAGTGCAAACAGCAAATACAATGCTCCGGAAACTCAGAGGAGAATCTAACTATTTTCTTTAGAGCAAAAAAAGTGCATTTCCTTCTTCCCGTATTATTGAATAAGAGGATATTTTATGATATGTGTAGCCAAAATCTAAACCAAGATCTGACCTCAGAAGCCTTACACTTGCACTATCTATTGCACAAATCCTCAAAAACTACAGTACACCTACTCACCAAACTTGTTACTGAGAGAAGTTAGATGTTGGATAGAGTAATTGCATCGATTTTTATGAACTGTGACTAAGCCTGGTGAACATAGGTCTAATTACTCAGAGTTTGCTGGCAAACAACAGTTGCAGTAACAATGACAACAGGCTGCCTCAATAAATCATCCAGTCTTGTGCCTAGGTTTATTGCAGCTCTTATTAGAGACAGATGAAATGACAGAGAGTGTTGTGCATTACCTGGGGTGCCACCTGCATCCCTAAACGCCTGCCACTTTATTTGCTCAACAAACACACACACACGCACATACGCAGGCATGCACACAGGCACGCACGCACACATACACAAGGGAACGCACAGGCGTGCACACCCCCCCATACACACACATACACACACAATACACTCACCTATTGCTTTTCACTTCTATCTTGGCTGCACTGATTGATTAGATATTGAAAATGGTCTGTCAGCGCATTTTGGAGAGGTACTCATCTGATAATGAATGCAACACCCTGGCTGCGAGCTAATTATATTACAGACACAAGTTGGTGGTGCTGTCTCACTCACTCCGAGCTGGCCCCACTGGAGAACTAGCCACTCTATTCTCACACTCCAAAACACTGCCTAAAGATTTCCAATGTCCACTTAGCGCACACTCGCTATGACAATTTAACTTTTCTCAAGTACAGAAATAAAAGTAACAGTCACGCCGGGGTGTAGGGCTACCTGATCTGCAACAGCTCGAGCCAATTTGTCCATCCTGGAACCGGCCTCTGCAATCTTCTTAGCGGCGTTGATCACATCTGAGGAGTTCTTCAGGGGTCCTTTCCCTCTGGGCGAGCGAGTGTGAAAAGAGGAGAAGAGAGCAGAGACATGGTGGGTGCAGTTGTGGAGACAGACACGCAAACTACACTTTAAAGACTACTTGCCCTGTGTGACAAAGGCCGCCACTAGCTCGCTAATTTGCTGAAGCTGGCAGGGGGCATATGAGCCTGTGCTATCAGACAGAGGAGCAGATCCCCCAGATAATGGGTGGAACAAAATACCCCACGCCTTTATCCTAATGATGTGCTACACAACCTCCTCGTGAGAAGATGTTTCTTTTCTAGCTCTGGCAAAAGTTCATTTTGGCTTTTCTCTTATTTGACTAAACCACTTGTTTGTTGAGTCACTTAGGTCCAAACTAAGTAATAATAGCTCGCTGAGGCAACAACTACAATCACTCATGACTAATCACTGATGGTGCTCTTTGTTTAATTTGAGTTCTTCTGTGCCTTATAATTATTGTGGCTCCTTCCATGAGACTGATAACTATCAGCCAGGCATGGGGGACGAGGATATGCAGGGCCCAGATGGAGAGATTAAGAGAAAAGCTTGTGGCTTTGAGTAAACACTCAACTATAGATACAGTATATCAGCAGATCAGAACGCTGCACTGTTGTCTCAGTCAAACAAAGCTCGTCTGGGTCAATTCATAACCTAAATACAATACTACTCTTTCAACTGGCATTCTGATCACACTACACACTGTTTTGATAAACCAAATCATGTCCAACTCTCTGAGGACAATCTGATGAATGGAAAATAGTTCTTGTTCTTACAAACTATGTTTAAATATTATAAACAGAGGGGAGGGCTTATCACATGAATATTATTTATATGAATTGGCATCTACTTTTACTGTCCATTTTTGCATTTAGGTATGTTGAAAAAATGAATGGTCTTCTTATCAACTATATCACCAAAGGCACATCATGTTTTAAATCCTAAAGAACTCATCTTTAAAGCCACCATCTGTAAGTTTATTTGATTACTTGTTACAAGTAGATGTTGCTCGTCCCACTCCCCTCACCTGGCCTTTGTTCAGACTCACTTGTGCTCTCTGCTCTTCTGTCAGGCCAAAGCTGACACACTACCAGACAGCAGTAACGTAGACACCGTCTAGTGGTGTTATATAAGAATACAACTGGGGCAGTTCGGCCAATCTAATTACAAACTGGGACTTTAAGAGCCACTTTAATTCTCTGGCTTTTAACGCCGTATGACTGTGTGATCCTATGTCTTTAATAATGTTTTATTATTTCTATTTTGGCAATATTTGTATTGCTATTTTCTTTTCTTTTTTTTTTTCTTTCTTTCTTTTATTAGATTTGACTGTTTTTATTGTTTGGTACTAACAAGATCAGACTGAGCATTAATTCCATTTGCTGTCTTTTATTGTTTGTCTCTCTGTGCAGCACATGGCCAACTCTGTGATTATAAACAGTGCCATATATATAAAATTGATTTGCATTTTGGTTTGGATTGATCCAGTACACTATATACTAAATGCTAAATGCTAATGTAAAGCTAGCATTGCCTCAGTACTTAATATTCAGTAAGAAACACTCCAGTAGCTCTGAGCGTCGTTACCTGGTGAAGTCGGTCATCTCCATCATGATCATGCACATCTGTTTGGCCAGCACGATGATGTCATTGCCGTTGTCGTCCCACTTGGCCACCTCGGCATCCAGTTTGCACTTCTCCTGTCGGAAGCTCTCCACCTGCTCTGCGATCTTGGCCTTCTCCTCCTGAGGCAGCTGAGCCATGATCGCCTGCAGGGTTCACACACACACAAGAAGACACACAAAAATATTTGATTAAAGCGTCCATGTTTCGCTATTTTCTTATCTCTGTAATCTTGTTTCCTCATTAAAAACATACCTGTAGTTGAGTTTTGCTTTAACACACACATCCTGCATATTTAGGCTAAGGTTCTCAAAAAGAAGACACTCTATTCCACCTTGTGATGTCATGTGTCATACAGAAAGTGCTCCACTGTGTTTTTAACTCCATACGCCTTCATAATATTTACTTTAATAACGACATTCGCGTGGAATAATTTAAAACGGCTGCTCGCGGGGAAGAGTTTAGGTAAAGATAAGTTTGCGAGGAGTTAAATAAGAAAGGGATTATAGCAGAATGGCGGAATAAAGCAGCTGTATAAAGGCCAAGGCTCCACTTCTTAGTTCAATTTCTCTGCCTGGTCTATTTTTTAATCCTCCCCTTACAAAAACTTTCTGTACTCTGTGAAACACTTCAAAATAAACTCCTCAACTTTACATTTAATGACTGGTCCCACTTCAAAGCCTTCGACAACCCATCGCCGTGACGAACAAATCCATAGTGTTCACTTCTTTCCCCGCATAAAGAATACATTGACGGCATTGAGATTGCAGCCTTTAGG